ATTCTTTCTAGTGATGTAGAAGGTTTCATTTTATATTTAGCCAAAAGATAGGAATTCAACAAATCAATATATAATATGAGTTTAGAAAACCATAAATATAACTAGATTATAGTAATAATGATCTTATTTTTGAGACAAATCCCCTTAAAAACAATTATATAAACTCTACATATTTCATGGAGGTATGAAATCTCCAAATTTTTGTTTAACCAGGGCAAGTAACTCATGTGCGTCACATGTGACCTGTTTTCAGGTACTTTATCCCTGGGTCTGACATTTAAAAACAATATAAATAACCATCATACATTATAACAACAATAATACAATATCATAATATATGAAATAGGTCGACAATGCTAATTCCCCAGGCAATGCTTAATATGTATGAGTAACACAAAAAATCCCAAGCCCAAATTTATCTTCGTTCGAGTAAAATTATAATAAATCAAATAATTTTAGCTAAAACATCACTAGTCTACCATATACATGTGTACTGATTAGTACATTGTAGATTACTGGACAGTACATTGTACTGTCAACCAGCTGTCTGTAAACTTGTTTCTCTTGTACCTACAATGTATACATGTAGGACAAGAATGTACTATACAGGGCTTTATTCATGCAGCTTCCTTGAGCTGATCCTGGAAACAGGAGAGTTCAGAACCATTGCAAGAATCCCAGCAGGACTTTGTGTGCTTAGAACTTATCAATGGCTTTCTGTCTCTGGAGAAGACAATCTGGTGAGAGGCTGCCCAGAACAGGCCCTGGCCCAGAACACAACCTCACACTCAGGGTGAGCAGATTCAAAAGACATGTTTTATTTTACACAGGTACAGACTTCAGAATTACAGGACAAACATCATAAGGAACCACACACTTTAGGCGTGCAGATTCACAGGATTTATCTATTTAGACTATTCACTGGCAAATGTTACAGTACACCACGTAGACTTTCAGGCAGTGTGGCTGAAGTCAATAACAGAATAATTTTGTGTTGTAGATATAACATAGATATCTATGAGTTATTTTCAAAGTATGGTTAGGCCATGTTGATTTAATTATATGGATGACATCCTCCGGAAACCCCAAAATTGATGCGCGCGTGCGAATAAAAAAAAAGTTTTGCAAAAAAAAAAGTTGTTTTCATTATGAAATCTACGTGGTCATGAGGGTTGAACAAATGGGACAGAATATGGTTTGGCGAATAATCTAGTCTTCAAGTTCATTTCTTTACAATTTCGTCTTTTTTCGTTTGGTTTTGGCATTCTACAACATTGGTATGGTTTTTTGTAACTTACGGTATATTTTTGCTCATTTTGCAACTGTTTTGTACGATTTACAGTATGGTTGAAAACTTTTTTTTTTTTAAACGGCCGAAAATTCATGCGCGCGGATGTCATCCATATAATCAAATCAACATGGCCTTACTCGATAAGAAAGGCAGCCTGGGTACCATCTGATTTGTAAGGACAACCCCATTTTTTGCAGTACAAATCTGATGGCACCCATGCTATAAGAAAGGTCTCTATTCATTCCAAAATCACAGCTCCTCCCTGGGGTGTGCATCCCCAGGAGAGGGCAGGAGGGCATCTCCTGTTGTCCTGCCCTCTCCTGTTACAAACCTAGGGCTACAGTCCCCTACAGGTGGTCAGTAGTGCAGTACTGGGGTCTGCCTGTCTGTGTACTAGCCCTAACAACAACCAGGCAACAACCTGGCTACATTTCTGTACATGCATGCTTCAATGGTCATGAAGCAGACCACTGCCTTGAAAGTCAGAAAACTTAAATAAGACCTGCTGACAAATGTAACATGATTAAAAAATTCAGAGATTATGTTGTTGAAAATTCCAAGTTGACAATTACACGTACAACACCTGACATGGTACAGTTAGAAATGAATTCATTTCCAACAATTTTCCCAACATTAACCTTTCAATATTTCTGCAGTCTGAACAAGTAACCTGGTTCACCAGAGGTATGTGTGAAACTGGAACCCCAGCAGCCAGTCTAACAGAACAATGTAGCTCACCTTTTGTTCCAGAGGCACAACCATGGACTGAATACAAACGTCACCCAGATTTCTCACCCAGCCCAGACAGATGATGGTCCTACAGAGCCTGTCCATGTGATCAGGGCAGGGGGTATAAAAAGAAAACTTCTCTTCTCATCACAGACACCACACATTGCAATGAACTACTAGTACTACATGTATTATTATCAAAATTATCCCCTCACAGTTCCAAACCAATTTCTCACAATCTCCATCCATGCAGATGCTGAAAGAGAAGATCAAAAATATTCTGGCCATGCCATCTAATATGATATGTTGACTCTCAAACACAATGTTGAGCTGGAAATTGGGAGAAGAAACCTCTTGACTCTTTACATTTTTAATCTAACCTGTCAGAAAATGAAGGAAGCTGATTGGTGCCTGGCCAGACCTAAAGTTGTCCTACTTTCCTGACACACAACCCTGCATGGTCCACCTGATAAGCAAACACATAACAGGACCTGAGGGTAACTGAGCGTGGACGCGAAACACACAAAACATTGGTGCACCTTATTTGGAAAAACATCACAGATGTTGACTACTACTATATCTTTTGATCAAACGGATTGAGTATCACATGACTGTGAGTATCACACAACTGTCAGATTCGAGATTCAGACATGGTTGTAGGTTTACCCGTCATCTGGGTACCAATCCCAACATCTGCTTGGGTAGCAGTGATGGATGGATGGATGAGAAGATAGATCAATGGATGGAGGAATGGATAGATGGATTTATCAACAGTGTATCTCAAATTTCAATCCAGCCACATTATCCAGGAGAGAATTGCTCTGATTTTTATGCAAACGTTCCAGTAGGTAAAATCATGTGAGATACACTATCATGTAGCTAACACCTGGTGCCCCAATCCCAGTTTTTTTTTTTGCACCTATCAAACCTGGTTTTTTTCTGTCTTCATGAGTGATTGGAAACGTCCACACTTGCGACCAGAGAAAGAAAACAAACAGGGAAAAGAAAACAAACGTGTCTCGGGTGCTGTTGGAGCCGTTAGCGGGGCTGTGAGTGATGTGGGCCCGGGCCTTGATGGATGGTGCGCGCGGCCGTGACTGCTGCACCCGGCGGGGCGCCAGATCGCCCGTACACCATGAATGATGCAGTAGGAGGTGAAAATCGAGGCCACATCAAGGAGCGCCGCTACTATGTAGCCCCGAGGCGCTTGCCTGTTTCGGCTCCAGGGCTTTTACTGTAGCAACACAACGTTCCATTCAGGCTGTCGGGAAAATTCACTCTTGAGTTTCCTCGGGAGGTGCAGCAATAGTATTATGCGTCTGCCCGAGCTGCTGGGGTCTGCAAGCGCCCCGACCGTAGCACAGCCCCGCTATCTTCCGCACCAGCCCTCGGCTCGAGTTTACTGGCCGTACTGGAAACTGGAAATGTGGCGGAATGGCGTGCGTTTGGGGCTCCCACTGTGCTGGCAGAAGCGCCACGTTCCGACACAGGTCGGCAGATGGCTCGGCACCGGGGGCCGCTGGCAGCTGCGCCCGGCCGGCTTACCTCACGGCTGGCCGTCAAACCTAACGAACTCTCCCAGCACGTTGCCTCGTGCCTGCACAGTATTCCTCACAAAATCCACAACCTTCCATCAGAAATATCACATGGAGATACACTACGATATGCAAAAATGCTCATACCTGGGAAAGGCTCCTTTCGGAAAGAATCCTTAAAGATCCTGGCAGTTTCGGGCGAAGATAGTTGAAGCTGCGCCGAGGTTTGCAAAGATTCAATCGGCGTGAAAACCACATTCAGAGGATTGTTTACGTCGCCTCATGAATATGCTAATCACAATTTTAAACATTGTATTTCCATTGGACAATAGGGAACCGCTCTACTATTGGTGAAACAAATCTGCTATCTGATTGGTTCCGGGAAATGTCAACAAACCAGCACAGCCATTTCCCGCGGAAACATTTCCCGCCAAATCCCCCGTCCATCATTCACTGATCAGCCTTACAAACATGGCCAAAACATTTGTGCCCTACTTCAAGCAAGAGGACTCCTGACTTGAGATTCACCATAAATGGGTCTCCGGTCCGGGACGCAGCGGCCTCTAGAGGTCGTGTTACAGATAACTTATGTTTTGTTGTGACTAGGGCGAACTTTCGGACTGGGGTTCGCGACTTTTACCGAAATCTCTGATATCCTGTGAGGACCGAAGCGTGTGCACCAGAAACCCGATCGCCGTCGCGTGCAGAGT